GGACCTCATGCGTCACCGGAATTTCTTTCTGCAATCAAGGAACAGTGTACGTCGTGATTGTGTGGCCAATATTGCTTTTGAAGCTGCGTTCATACTTTGCGACTCTGGCGATTCAGCGATAGCGCGCTCCACCGCCAGTCGTCAGACAGCTGCAACCGCTGCAAGCAGTATGGTTGAAATGGCAGTGCCATCGGTCCAACGATTAGCGGTGGAGCGCAGTTAATCACTGCTCCGTGATTTCAAAATTGCGCGACTGTATCCCTCCAGCCGCTTAGTATGAACGCAGCTTTAGCACGGTGAGTACAAGGTTTTAGATCGATCGCAGGGCAGTGTTTGCCACTGGTACAGCTTGGTCGGAGCTGTCAGTACTCTGCTCAATGCATGGGATTCGGAATCTGCTCGTCGTCAGTATGCCTGTGCCCAGGCGGATATTCTGCTGTCAACGGAGTTTGCCGATCCAATAGCGAGGTCAGCGCACGTCGTACATTGGGATTTTAGAAAAGTTTTCGGTTGGGATGGAACAAACGTTCTCGGTTTTCAGTCATCCGGCTGCGGCTACAACCAAGTGCTTGTTGGCAATCAGTGCTATCCCATAGTGCAGGTAAGGCTTCTAGGTTTTCTATATTTCTCGCCGCCGTAAACGTCCATGTTCAGATCGGTGGTCAATGTACCTACAACCAGCAATGTTCGGGTGATTCCACTTGTCAGTTTAACGTATGTCGCTGTCCTTCTGGAACTATTCAAACCGCTGATGGATACTGCAGAAATGGAGGTGGGTGCTTCACTGACGTGCCGTGGCAGGGTTTGATCACTTCTGTGGCTGCGCAATTGAGAAGAAGCGACGTACTACTATTTGGGCATATTTAAAGTGCATTCATTCGGCCGCTGATTTCAGGAGATCGTGAAAAAAAATTAATGAAATATTACATTTGGAGAGCTGCTCTCCTTTACTCGGTCCTTCGACTGCAAACAGTCTCATTAGCAGCTGTGGCGCAATTCTGAGAAAGAGGCAATTTACATCCGTTTTAGGCTCTACGGGCAGCCAAATGTGCGCCTCTGCTACAGAAGAGGTGGTCTACGAGACGAACTCTGTAGAACCGATCAACTGCCGGTATACGTCATGCCCGGCTGGTACTTACTGTTACAACAATCAACAGTTGCAGCGATCCTTTTGCTGTCGCCAAAGACAGAACACTGGGGGAACAGGTAGGTGCAAGATTGTCTGAAATACATAAGTAATCTAACTAGTGAGGCCGGTGCTTCAGGACGATGCAAGAATCCGTCTGAATCAATTGTCTACGAGAATGGGCAAGCCATCAATTGCCTGCTTACGCGGTGTCCTTCCGACAGTCACTGTGAACACAGCGATAGTCTACAACAGTACGTGTGCTGTCGATGAGAGATATTAATAAGTTCTTTTGTTGAAATCGGTGGGTAAAAAAACCACCGATCTATTAGGCAGACAAATAAATATACTGTCAACGAATATAAATGTCTGAGATGAAAGAAGCAGAACCGTAAAGGGTTCAGGAGAAGGAATTGAGAAGGAAAGTGCCAAAGAAAAACTCCGAGAACTTTTTCACTCATAAATAGCTTACCTGCTTTTAATACTACAGATAGCCATTGATTGTGAGCGATCTGCTATTTGGCTGGGGTGGGGAGAATGGGAAGAACCCGGTGCCTACATTGAAACCCCGACCATGCATTAGACCCAGAGCCATCCACGCAAAACCTCAGGTCCCGGGGAGATTTGAACTCCCGTCGCAGGATTCAGAGTCCTGAGTGCTAACCGCTACACCACGGGACCGAATGCGGTTGCTTTCATAGCCTGATTGTGAGCGATCTGCTATTTGGCTGGGGTTGGGGAGAATGGGAAGAACCCGGTGCCTTCATTGAAACCCCGACCATGCATTAGACCCAGAGCCATCCACGCAAAACCTCAGGTCCCGGGGAGATTTGAACTCCCTCCGGGGACGGTAAATTGGTACCAGATTCGTCTGGGAGGATAAAACACTGACTTGTACATCGGCTGGCCACCGCAAGTCATTGTATAGGCCACATCGCATTCAATAAGCCACTACGATTCTGAATGGAAGTAGAATGCGTGCCGCATCCCACAAAGGGATTGATCAACGGCGAAGACTTTATCCTTTTATCCTTTATGCCTTTAACTACGCCAGTGAGCTAGGGTTCACGAAATAAAGAAATACGGTAGAAGCCTGACGTAAAAAAAACAGGGAACGTTGTTACGTAGGCACTCATGCAAATGACATGTAGTAAAACGAACATTAGAAGAATTGAAACAAAAACTCTGGATCTCCTCTGGGTTCGGGGTTTTTGTCCGATTCCTCCAATGCTCCTTTTAGCTTTATATTATGATAAAGTGCTGTTTTACGCCGCAGTTCGCGTTCTGAAAGTTATCACAAGAATGCTGAGTTGTGGGCAAAAGTCGTGCCCCAGGCGGGAGTCGAACCCGCACCTCACGCTTTCCGGGGCGA